ATTCTTTTCTCACTGCTTTTTTGTACCTCAGTACTACGGTAATTTGTTCCAGAAACCCTATCAACCGCGCTCCATCTGGTAGCTTGCAGTCTGAAGTTTAATTATTTTTTCGTTTTTTCCAACTAGGCTCATTTTTTTCCCCGCTCTCATCACCACGTTGCCTTTCCTTTTTTCTCTCAAAAACACTTCCGATTTCCCTTGACATTCATCAATTCAAAAAAAAAAACTTCGAAAAAACTGAAAATTAACTGAAAAAACCTCCTCGTTCCCCGTTCCGTACTGGTATGCCGACTATCCTTACTAACGCATTTTTGACCATTTTTTGTGTGTATTTAAATCGAATTTTGCCTAATTTTTTTGAAATTCATATCATGATTTCTAGATGGATAAATAAACTTTTTTTTATTCATTTTAGTTTTTCAGGTGACCAAGCACAGAAAAGGGCAAGAAGCTAGAAAAATCTTAAGCTACAGGATTTCAGGAGAACTGGGGACTATTGAACTAAGCTAGGAATCCGATTAAACCAGGATTGAATATGACCAAAAAATGAACGAGCTTCGGACCTGGTTAATTGGATTGTCAAAATCGCTGGAAAATCAGAAAAAAAGCAACCGGCAGCGAAAAAAATCAGTTTCGAAAAGCCCTATCTTAGCTGGAAGAACCTCATCCGGGAAAACTGAATGATAGGCATCATCCTGAGAAATTTCCCTAGCAATATATGTGAAACCTGTAAGAATCGGACCGAAATCCAAGGAACTACACTTGGCTCTAAGTAACGACCCATCATATGAAAAGGTAAATTAGAATTGATAAGATCAGATATCCTTAGTTCAAATAGCTTAGGAATAGAATTTAAGGCTACCGGCAGTTTTAGGCGCATTCTCAAAAATCCTAACTGTCAATTAAGCACTGGTGGGGGCTGCTGATAGTAACGAGACCTTTCCTGCGAAAGTCTTTGTACTGTGAGTACTGTCCCTTCATAAAAAAGAACACTAGTGGTAATTATCACTCCCCCCTCTTAATCCAGGTTGTAAATCATCATCATTCACACCAATAGTCAATAAGAAGGTGACATGGTGTGAGTGTCTGTCTTTTGTGTTTGGATGACATGGTGACGTCAAACTCTATCTCCTCTTCACCTCACTCCTCTGATCGATTTTACAACATACTAGGTAACCATTCACCATTTACACTGCACAGGTCTTTTTTTCTCATTTTTTAATCGTTGGGTTTTTTCTTTTCAATTTATGTGTTTTTTTCAGGTACCGAACTCTTCAAAACCTTCAGATGCAGCGGCTAGAAAGCTGATGAAGCTGGTGCTCGATAAGAATGATGTGAGTTGAATTTTTTCTCATCCATAGGGAATGAAGATGATTTTTGAAGAAGATTACGCTTCGATAATGTTAAATTTTCAGACCCCAGCCCGTTTGTTCGAAGGGAAAGGAAGGAGTCGAAGTTGAAGGTGTGTGCAAGGAGCTGGGGAACAATGTTGTCAGATAAGGTGAGCGTTGTGGTTTTGGGAGCCTAGATGGATTGATTATGAGGTTAGATGACTCCTAAGTTGATACTGCTGGGTAAGTTTGGTCAATACCCTACAAATCTAGATCATGCCGTAACGGGGTCGGGAAATAGTAACCAGTATGTGTAGGGGGCTAAGCCATCAATATGGAAATATGTAAAACTATAGTGAACTACATGTCTGGGAAGCATTTTGAACACAATCCCAGCTCTGGGCATATGGCTCAAACTGGGGTTTAGCTAATGACCAATGGATCGGTCTCCAAAGTTTATCACAGCTAAATCAAGGTCAGGGGATCATTTTAAGCGCAGTCTGAGCTCCCACAGACATCTAGTTAGACTCCTGTGGATGGATATGCGAAAATGAGACTGGGGTCAGTCTAGAAATTGAGAAATCGAGTTTTTCACATCTGAAACAAGGTCACGGGAGCATTTTGAGCACAATCTGAGCACCCGCAATTTTTCGGCTCTATTTTCGTGGCAAGACCCAAAACCCTAAAACTTCATCCGACACAAAAAACATCTAAAAAGGTTCACTTTTTCAACGACATCTCCTTAATAGACGCAGTCCGACAGGAGGAAGATCCATTGCTTCCTTTCGTACTTGGTGTCAACATTTCCACCTGATCAACTTCCAATCCGATCTCATAGAAATCAACGGGTGCAGTGTCCCATTTCACTGTGGATATTTTCACTTTGGGCTCCCGTTTAAGACTTATCATTATCTATAATTTAGGATTTTAGGGGTAAAAGGGGCGTGGTTAGCTACTTACATCAGCCTGTACCGTGTATTGAGTCTTGAAATTGATGGGTCCTTTGTTGGTGAACTTCAGCTCGGTGACGGGAGTGATTTTCTGAAGGGGTGTCTAGAAAAATTAGCATTAGAGCGAACTTGCTCAGCGTTCATACCTGCTTCTTCTCAACAGCCTTCAATTGACAGGGTGTCTTGGCAGTTGTGCTCACAGGAGTTTCTTTGGTGATTTTCTGGAAGAATTGGCAGTAGAGCGAATTTGCTCAGCGTTCATACCTGCTTCTTCTCAATGAGTTTCAAGGGTGTCTTGGCACCTGAGCTGCTTCCCTCCTCAGCCCAGATATCCTCAACAATACAGTCAGGATTCTGGTCCTCCTCATCAAGATATTCTTCTGTTTTCAGCTTTTTCTCAGGTTTTTCCGATTTGTCAGCTGCTTTTCTCTCGTTCCAGTAGGTCGTATTCTGGGATGATCTAACTTTTTGCGGTTCTCTTCCAGAAAACTTTTCCTTGGGTTTTCTTGCTCTTCGTCTGCCAGGACGAAGCACCACAAACTTCTGAGACACCTCTCTTGGCGTTTGAGCTTTCCTCCGAGTGCAAATCACGATTGTTGGGATCCAAAGTACACTGGTTATAGTAATAAGAATGCGGAAGAAGGTGCTGAAAATACTCAACTCGGACCAGGGTTGTGGGAAAAGAAATTCCAAAAAAAAAATTTTTTTCCGAAAAAATTCAAAAAAACTTGATTTTCCGAAAATTTCGGTTTTTTTTTTCAGGAAAAATGGAGAAAAAGGCGGTAAAAACATGAAAATATACAACGAAAAAACCGTTTTTTCAAAAAAATTTTTCGGAAAATGACCGAAAAAAAGTTTTTTTGAAAATGTTTTGCACATCCCTGTCATTTCAAAACTGGGACGTTTCGCAACTGTTTAGTTCCGAAATGTCTCCTAGCCAACAACCACTCACTCATCCTTATTGTTTCCTATCATACTTGGCCCCGTAGTAGAGGAGTCACCAGAACAAACAGATAGGAATAGAAGAGAAAATGTGTAGATGAAGAATATCACATTTTTCACTGAAAAAAATTGTCAATAGAGCGCACTTGCTTATGAGGAAAACTCACGTCTAAGCTGCATTTTTTTTCGAATATAACACAACTTTTCCTGGTACTGACAGGAAGAAATTATTGATTTTTTGGCCTCATTCTAGTTTTTGGGAAATAAGGGAAGGTCACGTTAAGTAGCACAGGTTAGTAGATTTTTGTTTATGATTTTCTTAATGAAAATAGAAGTTTCGGCAACTTGGCCATGATAAAGTGCAAGCTGCCGGGCGGAAAATGCCGTTGAGCAACTTGCCAAACGCCTGCAGTAAGGGCAGGTTGCTCAACTGAGTAAATTGATTGTGAGACTGCTATTTTTGCTGGAAACTCGCTTTCCCTCTAGAAGACTGAATTTTTCGCTGGCAACTTGTACGGCAACTTGCCCAATCTTTCCTGTTCTAGAAAATACATGAAACACACATATCTGGCGGTACGCTGAATCAAGACTGTTCCATATCTCAAAAGCGGGCGGAGCTAGAAAAAAGTTGTCAACTGCAAACTTTTTCAGAATCAAATTTGGAACAAATTTGCAGTTGACAACTTTTTTTAAGCTCCGCCCACTTTTGAGATGTGGGACAGTTTTGCTTCAGCGTACCGCCACTGTGCTTCTGTTGCTCAAAACGCCCTGGGCATTGTTGCTCAGAATAAATTCCAAAAAATATTTTTCGTTTATCATTTTTCAAAACTATCAAAACACTTTTGAGAGGAGGAGGTAAAAAAAGAGACTGTACAGAGAAAAAGCAGACTAGAATTGGGGGAAAGTATATTCTGGAGATCAAAAAATAAGCAAGCAAGGTTTTAAGAGAGAAAAATAAATCGAAGTCCCGTACACACTGCAAAAAAGGTAGGAGAGATCAAAAAATTTGGTCAAAAAGTAAAAAAAAAAGGGAATAAGGTATTATCGATAGAGCGGGAATGCTCTGGCCGCTGAGAGGTTGTTGGAGGAGCCTGCTGTGGCGCCAAAAGCGCTGTAATTGACGGACGGGTTGAAGATGGTGCTTCCGTTCTGAAATACGTTTATTAAGGGTTACAGGGGTCTAGATTAGGGGTGGCAGCTGCACGGCAACTTGCCTAGGCAAAAACTCACATTAAACCCTGCGGCAATATTCAATGATCTGTAATTGGCGCTTGTCCAAGATGAGATATCCGGTGCGAACCGTCCCATGGCCGGGGAGTTGAAGTAGTCGTGGGAGTGTGTGGCTGCCGGGGGTTGCAGGGCTTGAGCGATTCCTGAAATTCAATTTACTAATTTTTTCCCAAGTCTGTTGCCGATTCTCACCTTGAAAATCAAACTTGTACGCATATCTCTTCCCATGCACCTTTGCCATTATGTTCTTATCATAATAATAGCGAAGTGCCCTCGACATTTTATCATAATTCATGTTTGGCTTCGATTTCCTCTCTCCCCACTTCCGGGCGACCTCGTCCGGATCCACCAGCTTGAATTCTCCATTTGTACCCTCCCAGGTGATCATTTCCGAGTAGCGTTTGTCGGAGAGAAGTTCCAGAAGGAATTGCCAAAGTTGTGTTTGTCCGGACCCAGAGTGCGCCAGGTTTTTGCTAGTGGGACCCAGGATTTGGTAGGGGTCTGGAAAAAAAGTAGTTTAGACCTTGGAAAAAAAGAAAAAAGATTTTGACCCTGGTGGGGATTGAACCCGGGACCCGAAATTTGAAAACAAGGGTGTTAGCCACTACACCACGAGTGCAACAGCAGTAATAGAGAGGGAGGGGGTAGAGATTACTGCTGGCGTTTCGCCCTGCTTGATGGGAAATTGCTTCAAACTCAAAAGATGAGCTTTTCTAAGATTCTGACCCCCAGTTTTTGATTGTGGGGCCCCAGGATTTGGTAGGGGTCTGGAAAAAAGTAGCTTAGACCTTGGAAAAAAAAGAAAAAAGGTTTTGACCCTAGTGGGGATTGAACCCGGGACCCGAAATTTGAAAACAAGGGTGTTAGCCACTACACCACGAGTGCAACAGCTGTAAAGGAGAGGGAGGGGGTAGAGATTACTGCGGCTTTTGGTTTCTCTTGAAGGGAACTTGCGTCAAACCCTAAAGAAGAGCTTTTCTAAGATTCTGACCCCCAGTTTTTGCTTGTGGGACCCAGGATTTGGTAGGGGTCTGGAAAAAAAGTAGTTTAGACCTTGGAAAAAAAGAAAAAAAGTTTTGACCCTAGCGGGGATTGAACCAGGGACTCGAAATTTGAAAACAGGGGTGTTAGCCACTACACCACGAGTGCAACAGCTGCAAAGGAGAGGGAGGGGGTAGAGATTACTGCGGCTTTTGGCTTCTCTTGAGGGGAACTTGCATAAACCCCCCTACAGTATCCCCCACTTCCCTAATTTTTCTCCTGACACCTGCCCCTAATCCTTACACCTGCTCACCTAACTCTATTCATCTTATTCATGCTTCTCCGGACCAATTAAGCAGAAAACACAAACAATTTGTCATTTAACAAGAATCTTAGGTTCCCCTCTTAGAAGGACCACCTGTGAAGCATGTGTTCCCCTCCTCCCAGAATATAATTGAGTTGAATTCCGTCTTGCATCACTGAGTTTAGCACTTCACTGATTTAATTCAATTTTGAGGGTGAAGAATGAGGAGTAATCACAACATTGTGTTGGTAACTTTTGAACCTAGTCATTAAAAGGAATTGAGTTATTTTGAGGGGAAGGAAGTGGAGGAATGGGACTGATTGGGAGGGGGAAATTGATAATGGGATAGGTTTTCCCGCATTAGAACTGTCCGGATCAGAACCGGACCATTTTTAAGCCCCCAGTTGCGACTCGGGGCTGAATTTTCTCAAATTTTCGAGTTAAAAGAAGTGTCAGAAGTACCCGGTTTTAAACCGGCCAGTTATAATACGGGACAGTTCTAATGCAGCCTTTCAGATTTTGAGTTTCGGAAGAGCATAACAATCCCTCTGTTTTCCAGCAAAATCATGAATTTTCGGCTGGAAAAACTGCTTTTTTGAGCATAAAAGTGTCAAATTTGGTTGAAAAACCGCTCTAGAAACCCAAACACTCAGATTTTTTGCGATTTGTGTTGTTTTTTTGCTGTTAGTGCACAAATAAAACTTTCAAAAACTACCAAAACCAGTTAACTTTGCTATAAGCCCCCGGAAAAAATGGTTTTCTCCCATCGGTTTCGAAAATTCACTATCGAAGTTTGGGATGATGCTCTGGATCAATTATTCCTCAAATAGGACTGATTCTAGGATAATTTTGAAGCGAAACTGTCGATTTTTCATAAAAATCTTCAATTTTGGCTGAAAAAAAGCTGATTTTCTGAAAAAATTTATCGATTTTGATGGAATACCGCTTTAGAAACTCAAATAACTGAGATTTTTGGAGGTTTCTGTGATGTTTTAGCCGTGAGTACATGGTTAAAATGTTAAAAACCTACTTAAATCAGTTAGAATCACTATGAAACTCAGAAAAATTCAAAAGTTCAGGATCCTGCTCTGGAGCGCTCCTTACCCAAAAAAGCATAGAAAAGCACGGATTATAGCTTCATTTTAAAGTGATTTTCTGGAAATTCCATCCCTAATTACCCTTCCTTTCCTTTCCAATCTAATTCAAATCTCAACACAGTCCTTCAATTGTTTTGGACATCTTGCTTCTTGCTCCGACAGGGAGCCGCCACCTGACAGGAAGCAGTGAGCACACTACAAAAACATGAGCATCTTGTTTTAATTGGCTCATCTCTCCCTCCCCACAAAAAGATTGACACATTTGTGTGTTGTCCCCTTTTGTTAACTAACTAGGGGCAATTGTGTCATGTCTTCCTTCTAAAGGGGGGGGGGGAAGAATCACTGAAGACTCTCTGCTCATTGATTATTCATTTACGACGTCTTCTTCTTGAAGGCGCTTCGCTTCTGATGTCAAAGGGAGAAGAGGAGGGGCAATTAAAATTGATAATGGTGTTGCCGCACGGAATAAGGAGCGGCTAAGTGGGCTAGGGGCCTGTAGAGTCGAAAAATGCGGGTTCTGATCCCCTGTTTCCTCTGTTTTCTCCGCAGATTTCCTATTTCAACGAAACGACAGAAGGCGCTTTGAGAAGAGAGAGATGATTCTGAAATCCGATCCTTCCCCTCCATCTTCTTAGAGTCTTCTTCTTTTGCTTGATGACACCATGTTTGTTCACTTGGCGGTGGCAAAGAATATCGATATCTTGTTTTGGTGCGCTTTTAGGGTCTTAGGTATCAAGCTGCGGTAACAATTTCGATAAGGCTGTCATTTCATAAAGCGGCCCTTGCTAGGGGGCCCTTCGCTTAACTTGGGCCCCCTTTCTTAAGTTGGGCCCCCTTCTCTTAGGTTGGGCCCCCTTTCTTTAGTTGGGCCCCCTTTTTTTAAGTTGGGCCCCCTTCTCTTAAGTTGAGCCCCCTTTTTTAGATGGGGCCTCTTTCTTAAGATGGGCCCCCTTCTCTTAAGTTGGGCCCCCTTCTCTTAAGATGGGCCCCCTTCTCTTAAGATGGGCCCCCTCTCTTAAGTTGGGCCCCTTTCTTAAGATGGGCCCCCTTCTCTTAAGATGGGCCCCCTTCTCTTAACTTGAGCCCCCTTCTCTTAAGATGGGCCCCTTTTCTTAAGATAAGGTGTCCCCTTCCCCTAAGCTACTGGTCTTAAATCTTACCTGGGGTCCTGGAGATCCAGGACTCTCAGCTTCTGCCCCCAAAACTCTCCTACCCCCTCATCTGTCCTGTTACATCATCATCAATCAAATAACCCCTTGGATTTTCGCGCGCAAAGGTAATTGTCTTCTTGGAGCAATTATTTTGTTTTCTTCTTCTTCTTCTAAGAAGTGTCTCCCTCCCCCCGATGGGATGGCGGCAATACCTTAGAAGAAACGGAAGTCAGAAGCCCCGCACCGTTTTGGGGATGAATATGAGAACAGGAAGAGCTCAATCTACTACCTGGAAAAACGAGTAATGGATATATAGTAGGTGGCCGGAAATTGGAATATATGAGCGAAAAGATTGGGAAAAAAGTTCAGAAGTTCACTTTTAGTACAGTTTTGGAAGGATCAGGGAGATCAGATTGGAGCTCCCAAGAAGAGAAGAAAAATTCTGGCATGAATTTCATATCGACAGAACATTTTTTGATCTACCTCCCCCTATCCCTTACAGGACCATCATCCTCAAACAATTACCGCACATGTACACACACACACACACACTGTCTTCCTATTATTTACACCCGGCTTTTTTCTCTCCATCTACCGTAATCCTCCTTGTCTTTGCCGCTTTTTGCGCGCGCGCGCGACTCGCATATGTTACATAATATAATTGGTGTCCCCCTAATAATCTCTACTTATAACACACAATGTGCTCTTTTAAAGTGGATGGTTTTCGGGTTTTGTTTGAAATGAAGAAGAGGGGGGGGAGGTTAATTGGGGTAGAACTTTAGGAAATCGGAAAATCAGGTCGATGCACCATGTTGAGATGGAAAAGCCCTGCAGTATAAATTAGGTCAAGCTGCGCATTTAAGGTGATTTTTACAGCAATTGATAGCCGTAGTATGGTTCATCTTACTATTGGGTATTAGACTATCAGCTAGGGCCCTAAGCACCCATCTGTCTTATGGCCTTGCGGTAAATTTTCGTTTGACAGGCTGATTTGACTGTCGTAAGGCCGGAAAAGAAATTTGACCATCGCATGATGATTCAGCTTACTAATGTGGTTCAGACTATCACCTAGGATCCTGGGGGCTCAGACCCTTGCTGCGCATTTAATGTAGCTCAGTTTCCTATTGATCCTGTCTTTTTTCCCTTTACGACATTCCCTTTAGAACCGTCCGACTGTTACTAAGCCGGTCGATGCACCATGTTGAGGACCTGCACCTTTAAGGTAAGGGTCCTAGGGCCCATCTGCCTTAGAACCTGTGCTAGGCCTTTAAGGTAACTTTTTCCCTCTACACCATTCCTTTTAGAACCATTTCTCCTCGAAATGTTCCTTCCCAAGCTTCCCCTCCCCCATAGCACAAAAAATCTGAGCATCGACACGCGACACAAGCACACATACGCAATTAAAGTATCGCTCACTCCCTCTCAGATAGGGAGTTTTTGATGGATGAATGAGTCCGTCTTGTGTCTAGAAACGACGACCAAGACGACTACGGTAGTTTAGAAGGAGAACAAACAGAAGGGGGTTTGTTAGAGCCGCATTCATGGGGGAGAGGGGGGGACGTCTCACTGATTGTTTTCGGTTTTCTTTTCTTCTTCTTCTTTCCTCATCACATGTGTGGTGATGATGATGATACTACTGTAGTGAAGGGGAAGAGTTCAAAACAGGAAATTATGGAGAAGAGAGAAAGAGAGAGAAAGCGAAAAAAACCGGAAATGTGCTTTATCAGTAAATCTCTCTAGGGTTAGTTATTTAAGCATGAAATATAGGTTCTGAGCTGAAATTCAGGACTTTTTTCTGGAAATCTCTATTTTCTAGGCTCAAAATTGACTGTTTTAAGCCAAAAATTTAGCTGTGAGCTCGAAAAAGCAGTCTTAATACATTTTTAGCGAAAAAATCAATTTTTTAGGCTTTCTAGGTCCCCGAGAAGCTCAGTTTTTCGAAATTTTGAGCTTGGTCGATGCACCATGTTCTAGAAAATTGAAATTTTCAAAAGTTGATAGGTTGGAGCTGAATTTGACCTCCAAAACTAGAAATTCCCTTAAATTCGTATTCTGAGCAATGCATTTTTGATACTCAATGCTCATC